TTCCACAGTTTGGCTATTGTGGACATTGCTGCTAGAAACATCGGGGTGCAGGTGTCCCGGTGTTTCATTGCATCTGAATCTTTGGGGTAAATCCCTAACAGTGCAATTGCTGGGTCGTAGGGCAGGTCTATTTTTAATTATTTGAGGAACCTCCACACAGTTTTCCAGAGTGGCTGCACCAGTTCACATTCCCACCAACAGTGTAAGAGGGTTCCCTTTTCTCCGCATCCTCTCCAACATTTGTTGTCTCCTGCCTTGTTCATTTTCCCCATTCTCACTGGTGTGAGGTGGTATCTCGTTGTGGTTTTGATTTATATTTCCCTGATGGCAAGTGATGTGGAGCATTTTCTCATGTGCATGTTGGCCATGTCTATGTCTTCCTCTGTGAGATTTCTCTTCATGTCTTTTGCCCATTTCATGATTGGATTGTTTGTTTCTTTGGTGTTGAGTTTAATAAGTTCTTTATAGATTTTGGAAACTAGCCCTTTATCTGATATGTTATTTGCAAATATCTTCTCCCATTCTGTAGGTTGTCTTTGAGTTCTGTCGACTGTATCCTTTGCTGTGCAAAAGCTTCTTATCTTGATGAAGTCCCAATAGTTCATTTTTGCTTTTGTTTCTTTTGCCTTCGTGGATGTATCTTGCAAGAAGTTACTGTGGCCAAGTTCAAAAAGGGTGTTGCCTGTGTTCTCCTCTAGGATTTGGATGGAATCTTGTCTCACATTTAGATCTTTCATCCATTTTGAGTTTATCTTTGTGTATGGTGCAAGAAAGTGGTCTAGTTTCATTCTTCTGCATGTGGATGTCCAATTTTCCCAGCACCATTTATTGAAGAGACTGTCTTTCTTCCAGTGGATCGTCTTTCCTCCTTTATCGAATATTACTTGACCATAAAGTTCAGGGTCCACTTCTGGCTTCTCTATTCTGTTCCATTGGTCTATGTGTCTGTTTTTGTGCCAGTACCACACTGTCTTGATGACCACAGCTTTGTAGTACAACCTGAAATCTGGCATTGTGATGCCCCCAGATATGGTTTTCTTTTTTAAAATTCCCCTGGTTATTCGGGGTCTTTTCTGATTCCACACAAATCTTAAAATGATTTGTTCTAAGTCTCTGAAGAAAGTCCATGGTATTTTGATAGGGATTGCATTAAACGTGTAAATTGCCCTGGGTAACATTGACATTTTCACAATATTAATTCTGCCAATCCATGAGCATGGAATATTTTTCCATCTCTTTGTGTCTTCCTCAATTTCTTTCAGAAGTGTTCTATAGTTTTTAGGGTATAGATCCTTTACCTCTTTGTTTAGGTTTATTCCTAGGTATCTTATGTGTTTGGGTGCAATTGTAAATGGGATTGACTCCTTAATTTCTCTTTCTTCAGTCTCATTGTTAGTGTATAGGAATGCCATTGATTTCTGGGCATTGATTTTGTATCCTGCCACGCTACCAAATTGCTGTATGAGTTCTAGCAATCTTGGGGTGGAGGCTTTTGGGTTTTCTATGTAGAGTATCATGTCATCGGCGAAGAGGGAGAGTTTGACTTCTTCTTTGCCAATTTGAATGCCTTTAATGTCTTTTTGTTGTCTGATTGCTGAGGCTAGGACTTCCAATACTATGTTGAATAGCAGTGGTGAGAGTGGACATCCCTGTCTTGTTCCTGATCTTAGGGGAAAGGCTCCCAGTGCTTCCCCATTGAGAATGATATTTGCTGTGGGCTTTTCATAGATGGCTTTTTTTTTTAATTTTTTTAAAGGTTTTTTATTTATTTATTTACGATAGTCACAGAGAGAGAGAGAGAGGCAGAGACACAGGCAGAGGGAGAAGCAGGCTCCATGCACCGGGAGCCCGACGTGGGATTCGATCCCGGGTCTCCAGGATCGCGCCCCGGGCCAAAGGCAGGCGCCAAACCGCTGCGCCACCCAGGGATCCCCATAGATGGCTTTTAAGATGTCGAGGAAAGTTCCCTCTATCCCTACACTCTGAAGAGTTTTGATCAGGAATGGATGCTGTATTTTGTCAAATGCTTTCTCTGCATCTAATGAGAGGATCATATGGTTCTTGGTTTTTCTCTTGCTGATATGATGAATCACATTGATTGTTTTACGAGTGTTGAACCAGCCTTGTGTCCCGGGGATAAATCCTACTTGGTCATGGTGAATAATTTTCTTAATGTGTTGTTGGATCCTATTGGCTAGTATCTTGTTGAGAATTTTTGTATCCATGTTCATCAGGGATATTGGTCTGTAATTCTCCTTTTTGGTGGGGTCTTTGTCTGGTTTTGGAATTAAGGTGATGCTGGCCTCATAGAATGAATTTGGAAGTACTCCATCTCTTTCTATCTTTCCAAACAGCTTTAGTAGAATAGGTATGATTTCTTCTTTAAACGTTTGGTAGAATTCCCCTGGGAAGCCATCTGGCCCTGGACTCTTGTGTCTTGGGAGGTTTTTGATGACTTCTTCAATTTCCTCCCTGGTTATTGGCCTGTTCAGGTTTTCTATTTCATCCTGCTCCAGTTTTGGTAGTTTGTGGCTTTCCAGGAATGCGTCCATTTCTTCTAGATTGCCTAATTTATTGGCATAGATCTGTTCATAATATGTTTTTAAAATCGTTTGTATTTCCTTGGTGTTGGTAGTGATCTCTCCTTTCTCATTCATGATTTTATTAATTTGAGTCTTCTCTCTCTTCTTTTTAATAAGGTTGGCTAATGGTTTATCTATCTTATTAATTCTTTCAAAGAACCAACTCCTGGTTCTATTGATCTGTTCCACAGTTCTTCTGGTCTCAATTTCGTTGGAACTCTTTCAATCTTGCAAAACAGAAACTCTATACCCATTAAACGAAACTCCCCATTTCTCACTCCCTGTAGTCCTTGGCAGCCTTCATTCTACTTTCTGTTTCTATGAACTTGACTACTTTAGATACCTCACATAAGTGGGATCATACAAGATTCCTCCTCTTTGGGGACTGGCTGATTCCACATAGCATAATGTTCTCAAGGTTCATGTGTTGTAGCATGTGACAGGATTGCCTTCGTTTTAAGGCTGAATGATATTCCATTGTATGGATATATCACATCTTGTTTATCCATTCATCCATCAGTGGCTATTTGGGTTGTTTCTATCTCTTGGGCTAATGTGACTCATGATGTTGTGACCAGTGTGCAAATATGTCTTTGAGGCCCTGCTTTCGCCACTTTTGCATATAGATCCAGAAGTAGGATGGCTGAGTCATAGGTTGTTCTATTTTTAATTTTTGGGGGACCATTCATACTATTTTCCATAACTGTTGCACCACTGTACAATCACTAGAGTTGTAATGGCACTAGAGTTCCAATTTCTCTACATCCTTGCCATTTTTTTTAGTTACTTTAGGTAATAACTATTATCTTATATTTATTGATAGACTACAATTTACTTTTTGCCCATTCTCCAGTTATTAGGAATTTAGATTATATCCAACATTTTGTTATTCTTTTTTTTTATAAATTAATTTTTATTGGTGTTCAATTGGCACAATGCAGTGTCATTTAAACATTCATAATGTTGTGCCACCAACACCTCTGTTTAGTTCGAAGATATTTCACCACCCTAGAAGGAAATCTGCTAACCCATTAATAGTTACTCTCCATTCTACCCTACTCCTATTCCCTGGCAACTGCTGATCTGCTTCCTGTTTTTTTTTAAATATTAAAAAAATGAAGATTTTATTTATTTATTCATGAGAGACACATAGAGAGAGGCAGAGAGCCTCTGCATCAAGCCTGATGCAGGACTTGACCCCAGGACCCTGGGATCACACCCTGAGCTGAAGGCAGATGCTCAAACACTGAGCCACCCCAGTGTCCCCTGCTTTCTGCTTTGATCCATTTATCTATTCTGGATATTTCAAATAAATGCAATCATACATTATGTGGTCTTTGTGGCTAGCTTCTTTCACTCAGCTTAATCTCTTTAAGTTTTATCTGTGTCGTAGTATGTGTCAGTACTTCATGGTCTTGTATACCTAAATGATATTCTATTATATGATTATACCACTTTTTGTTTATCCATTCATCTGTTGACCCATTCTGCATTTTAAAAGAAGATGTTGCATTTTTAAAAATATTTTATTTATTTATTTATTTGAGAGAGAGAGAGAGAACATGAGTAGAGAGAGAGGAAGAGGGAGACGGGAAAGCCAACTCCTTGCTGAGCAAGAAACCTGGACACAGGGCTCAATCCCCAGGATCCTGAGATCATGACAGATGCAGGGCTCAATCCCAGGATCCTGGGCCTGAAGGCAGATGCTTAACGAGGAAACCACCCAGGTGCCCCAAGGTGTTGCTTTTTTGCAAGTCTGTTGGTGGCAGAGAGAGGAAGACGGAGAGACAGAGAAGCAACACCTGATGAAGCAGATGCTTAGGAGAGCTGTCCTCACAGGGAGCCAGGGCAGATGTGAGTCTGTTGCCACTTAGGGAAGAACATGAGAGAACCCACAGCTGCGAGCCTTGGTTGCTCCATGAAGGAGGAGTTTGGGGATAGGAGAGTAGGTAGGGCTCAGGGAGAGGGAAGGAGATTCAGAGAATGGCACTGGTAAATGACCAGAGATAGAGTGCCCAGCTGGGGTCAGACTCTGGTGATGCCCATCACTGCCACATCCTTGTGAGCGACTCACGCATGTTAGACCACACAACAGCAAGAGTAGCTAAAAGCTGAATGTGCGTCACCTCGCCTAGTGCCACGACAGCCCTGTGGCATAAGCATTAGTATCCCATGTTCCCAGTGAGCTAGTAAGGGGTAATGCTGAAAATTAACCAGAGCCTGCATCCTCTCTTCGTCACGCAAGAGAGGTGACCAAGAGCTGAAGATAGCAATTAGGGAGTAGCTCGGACTTAAAATTCAGGAAGGATTTGGAATCACAGAGACGGAGAGAAGCATGGAGTGATTAACATGCTCAAAGGCAGGAAAGCCAGGTGGTTGTATATGGAATCAATAATAGTAATAACGGTAGTTGTAATTCTTATCACCAGTATTATTTTTTACCGCGTTCTTGCTAATCGCCAGGGCTACACTGTGCCCTTGAAGCGCATAATCTTCCCTGAACCTCAAGCAGCTCTGAGGAGCGCTGACAGTCATCAATGAGCAGCGAGTGGCAGAGGAACTGGCCCAGAGTGGGGACCCCCCCACCCCAGGAAGTCCTCCGGGGCTGGGCTCAGCGCAGAACCAGAGCTCCTGCCCCCCGGGCCACCTTCACTCTCTCCCCACTCAGGGATGGCTGCCACCTTGGGCCTAAACCACAGCTCTGTGTCTGAATTCATCCTCGTGGGCTTCTCCACCTTCCCGCCCCATCTCCTGCCTGCCTTCTTCCTGCTGTTCCTGCTCATGTACCTGTTCACGCTGCTGGGGAACCTGCTCATCATGGCCACTGTCTGGAGCGAGCGCGGCCTGCACACGCCCATGTACCTCTTCCTGTGCGCCCTGTCCATCTCCGAGATCCTCTACACCTTGGCCATCACCCCGCGCCTGCTGGCAGACCTGCTCTCCACCCGCCGCACCATCGCCTTTGCAGCCTGTACCAGCCAGATGTTCTTCTCCTTCACGTTTGGCTTCACCCACTCCTTCCTGCTCACGGTCATGGGCTACGACCGCTATGTGGCCATCTGCCACCCTCTGCGCTACAATGTGCTCATGAGCCCCCGTGGCTGCACCTACCTGGTGGCCTGGTCCTGGGCTGGTGGCTCGATCATAGGGCTGGTGGTGGCCACAGCTGTTTTCCACCTCACTTTCTGTGGACCCAATGAGATCCACCATTTTTTATGTCATGTGCCCCCTCTCTTGAAGCTGGCCTGTGGAACTGATGTACCAATAGTGGCCCTGGGTGTGGGGCTGGTGTGCATCACTGCCCTGCTGGGCTGCTTTCTCCTCATCCTCCTCTCCTATGCCTTCATCGTGGCTGCCATCTTGAGGATCCCCTCTGCTGAGGGAAGGCACAAAGCCTTCTCCACCTGTGCATCCCACCTTATAGTGGTCATTGTGCACTATGGCTTTGCCTCTGTTATCTACCTCAAGCCCAAGGGTCTGCACTCCCAGGAAGGCAACACCTTGATGGCCATCACCTATACGGTCCTCACGCCCTTCCTCAGCCCCATCATCTTCAGTCTCAGGAATAAGGAGCTGAAGATCGCCATGAAGAAGACCTTCCTCAGTAAACTCTATCCCTCCAGCATCTAAGTGGCCAGTGTGGGGGTGGTCTTAGAATAAGGTAGAAGGATGACCATACCCTCATCTGTACAATGGGGTGAACAATGACTACCTAGTAAGATTAGTAAAAAGTGAACGAACAAGGGGTGGTGGAAAGGGAGGTGTGCGGGGGGTGGGGGTGACTGGGTGACAAGCACTGAGGGGGGCACTTGATGGGATGAGCACTGGGTGTTATGCTATATGTTGGCAAATTGAACACCAATAAAAAAAAGTTTTTGAAACAACACCCATGACATAGCAGGTGCTCAATAAATGTGAACTTTACTTCTTTTTCCTCCCTTGGTTTGTGTCTTGGATATTAGTTTTATTTATAATCAAACAGTTTTATCAAGATATAATCCACATGCCATATAATTTGCCTGTTTAAAGTACACAATTCAGGTGGTCTTTAGTATATTCAGAGTTATGTGATCATCATCACAATCAATTTGAAACATTTTTGTCACCCAAAAAAGTAACCTCTACCCATTCAGTCCCCATTTCTTCCCCAACTCCCATAACCCCCCAGCCCTAGGAAACCACTTTTTTCTTAGAAAAAATTGTTTAAAAAATTTTTAATTGAAGTATTGTTGCCACACGATGTTAGTTTCAATTATAAAATATAGTGATTTGACCCCACACAATACTATTACAAATACCATTGACTACATTCCCTATGCTGTACGTTTCATCATTCCTGTGACTTACTCATTCCACTTTGCTTGTTCTGGATATTTCACATAAATGTAATTATACATCAGGTTGTCTTTTTGACTGAGTTCTTTCACTTAGCACAATGTGTTCAAGGTTCCATCATGTTGTAGATGTGTGAGGCCCATTCATTTTTATTGTCAAATATTATTCCATTGTATGGACATATTGTATTTCTTTTTTTTTAATTTAAATTATAGTTAGTTAAGATTCAGTGTAATATTGGTTTCTGGAATAGAATTCAGAGGTTCATTGCTTAAATACGACACCCAGTGCCCATCACAACAAGTACGCTCCTTAATATTCATCACCTATCTAGCCCACCTCTCACTCACTTCCCTCCATCAACCTTCAGTTTTTTCTCCATCATTAAGAGTCTCTTATGGCTGTTTCCCTCTCTCCTTTATCCCCCCTTTCCATATGTTCATCTGTTTTGTTTCTTAAATTCCATATATGAGTGAAATCATATGGCATCAGTCTTTCTCTGAGTGATTTATTTCGCTTAGCACAATACCCTCTGGCTCCATCTACACTGTTACAAATAGCAAGATTTCGTTTTTTTTTTTAAGATTTATTTATTTATTCATTCATTCATGATAGACATAGAGAGAGAAAGAGAGAGAGAGAGAGAGGCAGAGACACAGGCAGAGAGAGAAGCAGGCTCCACGCAGGGAGCCCGATGCGGGACCCGATCCTGGGATCACACCCCGGGCCAAAAGCAGGCGCCGAACCGCTGAGCCACCCAGGGATTCCCCAAGATTTCATTTTTTTGATGGCTGAGTAATGATGTGATATATATATATATATATATATATATACATATACATATATATATATCCATTCATCACTCGATGGACATTGGGGCTCTCTCCATAGTTTGGCTATTGATAATGGGACACACTGTATTTCATCTGTCTATTACTGAACCTCTCAGTATTTCTACTTTTTGCTATGTTGAATAATGCCACTAGAAACATTTTGAGTACACATTTGAGCACACAAATATTTTTCTTGAATATACGGTTTCATACTGTTGCATGTATACTAAGGAGTGGATTTTTTGGATTCAAGGGTAACTTTATGTTTAATTTTTTTTTTTTTTGCAAACACACGAGGGTTTATTACAAGCTTGAGCTAGGGTTCAAGTATACCCAACACAGCGGAGCAGGGACTTGGACCCCGAGACTAAGAGGCGTAGCAGCTTTATAGGGACCAGTGGCCAATGGGATACACAGAAAGTTGCACAGTCATGTCGGTCCACATGCAGGTGGCTGATTGAATTACATTTTACCCTAAAGTATCCATTTGAACTGGCCTATCATTTAAAGAAAGTTCCATACTGTTTTCCAAAGTGGCTGCACCCTTATATATCCCCACTAGCAGCTTAGTAGGGTTCAAATTTCTCCACTTCTTTGCCAACATTTGTTATTACCTGTCCTGTATCTTAGTGATAAGAAGTGGCATCTCATGGTAGTTTTGATTTGAATTTCTCTAATAAGTAATGATATTGTGCTTCTCATCACATGCTTGTTGGCCATTTCTATGTGTTCTTGGAGAAATGTTGTTGAAACATTTCACCAATTTTTAAATAAATTTATTTTTTATTGGTGTTCAATTGACCAACATACAGAATAACACCCAGTGCTCATCCCGTCAAGTGCCCCCCTCAGTGCCCGTCACCCATTCACCCCCACCCCCCGCCCTCCTCCCCTTCCACCACCCCTAGTTCGTTTCCCAGAGTTAGGAGTCTTTATGTTCTGTCTCCCTTTCTGATATTTCCCACACATTTCTTCTCCCTTCCCTTATATTCCCTTTCACTATTATTTATATTCCCCAAATGAATGAGAACATATAATGTTTGTCCTTCTCTGATTGACTTACTTCACTCAGCATAATACCCTCCAGTTCCATCCACATTGAAGCAAATGGTGGGTATTTGTCGTTTCTAATGGCTGAGTAATATTCCATTGTAACATAAACCACATCTTCTTTATCCATTCATCTTTTGATGGACACCGAGGCTCCTTCCACAGTTTGGCTATTGTGGCCACTGCTGCTATAAACATTGGGGTGCAGGTGTCCTGGCGTTTCATTGCATCTGTATCTTTGGGATAAAACCCCAACAGTGCAATTGCTGGGTCGTAGGGCAGGTCTATTTTTAACTCTTTGAGGAACCTCCACACAGTTTTCCAGAGTGGCTGCACCAGTTCACATTCCCACCAACAGTGCAGGAGGGTTCCCTTTTCTCTGCATCCTCTCCAACATTTGTGGTTTCCTGCCTTGTTAATTTTCCCCATTCTTACTGGTGTGAGGTGGTATCTCATTGTGGTTTTGATTTGTATTTCCCTGATGGCAAGTTCCATGCTCATGGATTGGTAGAATTAATATTGTGAAATGTCAATGTTACCCAGGGCAATTGACACGTTTAATGCAATCCCTATCAAAATACCATGGACTTTCTTCAGAGAGTTAGAACAAATTATTTTAAGATTTGTGTGGAATCAGAAAAGACCCCGAATAGCCAGGGGAATTTTAAAAAAGAAAACCATATCTGGGGGCATCACAATGCCAGATTTCAGGTTGTACTACAAAGCTGTGGTCATCAAGACAGTGTGGTACTGGCACAAAAACAGATACATAGATCAATGGAACAGAATAGAGAACCCAGAAGTGGACCCTCAACTTTATGGTCAACTAATATTCGATAAAGGAGGAAAGACTATCCACTGGAAGAAAGACAGTCTCTTCAATAAATGGTGCTGGGAAAATTGGACATCCACATGCAGAAGAATGAAACTAGACCACTTTCTTGCACCATACACAAAGATAAACTCAAAATGGATGAAAGATCCAAGATTCCACCAAAATCCTAGAGGAGAACACAGTCAACACCCTTTTTGAACTCGGCCACAGTAACTTCTTGCAAGATGCATCCACAAAGGCAAAAGAAACAAAAGCAAAAATGAACTATTGGGACTTCATCAAGATAAGAAGATTTTCCGCAGCAAAGGATACAGTCAACAAAAGTAAAAGACAACCTACAGAATGGGAGAAGATATTTGCAAATGACGTATCAGATAAAGGGCTAGTTTCCAAGATCTATAAAGAACTTATTAAACTCAACACCAAAGAAACAAACAATCCAATAATGAAATGGGCAAAAGACATGAAGAGAAATCTCACAGAGGAAGACATAGACATGGCCAACATGCACATGAGAAAATGCTCTGCATTTCACCATTTTTTTTGTTTGTCTTTTTGCTAAGCTGAAATAATTCTTTATAGTTTCTAGTTACAAGGCCCTTATCAGATATGTGAGTCTCAAAAATTATCTCACATTCTATGAGTTGTCTTTCCACTCTCTTGCTGTTATTCTTTGCAGTACAGATGACATCCAATTTATGTATTGGATTCTTTTGTTGCTAATGGTTTGGGTGTAATGTGTAAGAAATGATTACTTAATCCAAGGTGATGGAGATTCCTAGCAATGTTTTCCTCTAAGAACATGATAGTTTTAGCTCTTACATTTAGGTCTGTGATGCATTTTGAATTAATTTTGGTACATAGCATGAACTAGGGATCACGCCCTGAGCTGAAGGCAGACGCTCAGTCACTGAGCCACACAGGTGTCCCTGGATGATTTCTTTATGACATTTTTGAGCTCCTTATACTGAAGGCTGAAAATGATTGGGCTGAGAAAGGGAGTGAAGACTGTAGGTGGTGGCCATCAGAGTGTTACTGTCCATAGAAATGGGTCCACGGGCTGGAGCTAGATAGTGGAGGCAAAAACATATTGCACAACGACCACAGTGAGGTGGGAGACACAAGTGGAGATGGTCTTATGCCTGCCCTCAGCAGACAGGATCCTCAATACCATGGGCATGATGAAGACACAGGAGAGGACAATGAGGCATAAACAGCCCATCAGAGCTGTGACACACACCAGGACCACTCTCAAGGTGACAGATGATGTCTCCTTCCCACAGGCCAACTTTAGGAGGGAAAGCATGAGGCTGGAAAAATGGTGGATCACATTAGATCCACAGAAGGTGAGGTGAAAACCTGTCAGGGTCACCATCATCCCCATGATTGAGCCACCAGCCCAACATCAGAACACACAATGGCACAGCCATAGGGACTCATGAGCATGTTGTGGTGCTCTGGGTGGCAGATGGCCACATGCTGATCATTGCCCATGGTTATGAACAGAAAGGAGTGCTCTATGTCCTCACAGCACTTTGCCCTCATTTACTCATTCATATAGTCAAAAAATGTTTTGAAGACTTATTTTATATGGAAATAGTCTAGGTGCTGGGATCCAGCAATACCAGAGGCTAGATCTCTGTCCTCTCCTATCTATGCTATGGTCCACTGAGGGAAGCTGTCATATA